ATGCACCAATTCATTTATCTTGGCACGATAAAACAGACTGAAAAGATGACACCTCCCCGCGCGAGCTCGAGCAAAGTCATAGTTTATAACAGACGATCACTCAGAAAATTAGAGGTGCTTAATTGCGTAACGTAACATTAAAGCGGAGGACCATCCAAAATGGATAACGAGACAGTTTGATTTAGGATCTGTAAGCGTACTTTTTAATAGACGATGGTCATTCAATTTTGACGGCGCACAGTGGATCGAGTCAATGGGAGACGTCGGACAAAATTTGGAAAATTTAAAAGCTTTTAACTCCGTTATTAAGTGATATCGAGGTCTTAAAAATGGCCCCACTAGTTTTCTCGTGAATTTTACATCAAAAAGCACCCCTTAAAATTAAAAATTTGACGAGATAAACGTGGGAATTTGCAGTTTTAGTAAACAAATTCGTGTCCGACCTTATGTCGTTGACTCGACCCACCGTGCGACGCGACGCTTGTCTCGTCTTCCGAGGTGAGAAAGTGTAGGTGTACATACCGCTGAGCACTTACAGAGACTTTTATGACTTTCCAAGAGCGGAAATGTTTTCCTTCCGCCGGAGATTGCGCGGAATTAGTCAAAATTGCGTAATTTCGGAAAAATCCAACGTCATCTTCTTTCTAGAATGTGTGAGGATGAAAAAGATTAAAATTTTCCGCGAAGTTTTGTGTCGAGAACGGAAATGAAGATTATGGTGGAGCATTCATGGCTCGTTGACTTCGATTGACTTGAAAATGTACGATTTTATGCGTAACATTTCGATTGAGTGCTAAAAAATTATTCGATGTTGAAGTCAGACCATGAAAATGTCATTAAAGCGTAATTTATGAGTTGTTTGATGAATGTCTGTCTTCCCCTGGTAAAAATAAGTGAATTATGAATGGACCCCACATTCACCGGTTAGGGTCCGTTTACATGATCCTTTCAGTGCTCAATCATAAACGGGCCCCAACTAGGTTTTATCAGGGTTGCCAGTGCAATTCTCCCATGAATCAAACCGAAGTTACGGATCAATGTATTCAAAAAGTAATTGAACCATCATGAAAAGAAACTTTGAACAAATGATTCCAGAGTGAGGAGCAAAAGTTCGAATTTTCTATTTTAGATCCTTCGAGTGGAAAGCGCATGATGTTTATCTAAAAGCGCGTCAATAACATTAAAAACTTACGATCCAAATTGAGCTGCGACTGCGCGATTCATACACCTATTTGCAATTGGACGTGATTCTGCCAAACTAAACTTTGTGCATTATGATGTGAGCCCTGTTATGAATATATTCTTATGGGTATCAGGGCTCATGTCTTAATGCACATAGTTCCGTTTGGCAAAAAGACGTCCAATTAATTGAAGCCATACGGAAATAACTCTAGATACCTCGATATCTTACTTTTACGAATGACTACACCGAGAAGCATATATGGTTAAAATTACGGTATTGGTGCACGATCCGATAAAATCTTAATTTACACAAGTCATAACCATCAGTGTTGGTTTTTTACCACTACGTTGGTAGTTTTACCACTACGCGGTAGTAAAATGACCAGTTGATCGCCTATTAGTAAAATATTACTATTATTGGCTATGGTTTCTTATAGATAAAGAACTCGCATCGAGCAATGAATAATTTTAACCCTGATTCTTCTTTATCTGTGAGTACCTATATGTGTGCTTTACAGCGTAAATTTTTGGGATTACTTCATGACTTAGCTCCATACAAATCAAATAAGAAAACACACACGTACCAAAGCAATGAAGTACTCATATCTCCATTCGCGATGGACGATAGAAATGTGTTTATTATAGATCTCATATTATTATGTGGTGTTATGAACAGAGTTCATCAAACATGGAAACCGATTGCTAGCGCTCAAGACTCAAGACCTCATGCTTCACCGTGCACCTCTGATCGTTCATTTTCCTCTATCTCAGCAGTATGATCGGAAAAATCGACTTAGTTTGCAACCCAAATTACTTTTTTCAGCTCATGTTATGCTCCGATATTTACTGATATCGCTCATAGGTTGCACTCCTCGCTCGCTGACGGAGAGGGAGCAAAAAATTATTTTGATGGCTTATGTTATCTACTCGAGGGCGGCCAACTTAGCACATGATAGTCGATGGCGTGGCGTGCTGTGCGATTTATCGATCGATCTGCCATTTAAACCTATGGGGAAGGATCGATAGACAGGGTGTTTGCAACGGACACCTTAATAATCGATCCTTTACCATAGCTCCAAATGGGGAAATATCGATAATCGAACATTCATACCTCGCCTCTGATGATAGTGTGCGTTCCTGTTCATTATCATTGACTGAGGGAATCACGTTGGAAACTTTGTGAACAGAGGTAAAATGGACGTTTCCATGCTAAAATGAACCATAAGCATCGAGTTTGCGTACAGCATAGTTCCCTCTAGCACAAATACTTCCAAGTGTGCAGGATCGTTTGCATTGAAAAACATTTTCTTTTCTAATACGGCTGCGACAAAATAGTTCTGTACGGTGCATTATGATTTCTAAAACGGAATGGGAAAAATTACTATCTTCTGGCTCCATTATCTTACATTGTTCAAAGTAATTTTGAAAAAATTAGAGAAAATGAGTCAATGCTTTCACACTGACGCATCGAAATGACTTCCGACAGTATATATTGACTTGACATTATCTCGAGTCAACTCGGTTAAACCTGGATGTTGGATGTTAAAAATGTTTGATTGCCACCGACTGTCACAATAATCACTTACACAACGTTTGAGGCCTGATCGAAATTACTTCCAACAGTGATTATTGACGCTATCTTGAGTCAACGCGGTCAAACTTAGTTTTGGATGTTGGAAAATTATTTACTCGCCACCGACTATGACAATTATTCTGACTGAAAAAACAGTTTTTATGTAGTAAGATCCTTAAAACTGCATGGGGACCGATAAACCAAACTTTGTCTGGCTCCATTGCTATCTTAAATTATCCAAAAGATAACTTTGGGAAATTGGTCAATTTTTTTACATTGACTCATTAAAATTAAATCGAACAGTAGGTATTTATTGCCACTATCTTAAGCCAACTTCGATGATGAAAAAAAAAACTTGTCCACCAAGCATTAGAATTATTTAGACTGTAAAAAAATCCCATCGATAGTACCCAGTAAAAAAGCAAAAAATTGACGCCTGCATAGTTTCTTGCCATGAAAAATCGGGAAGAACCCCTCTCGTTTCAAAATCTCCGAGACGTTGGAGATGTGCATTTGTGCAAGGTCGTTGAGGGGTGGATTTGGCGGAAGTCACGTATCCAGGTCACAATGTTCGCAGGCTAAAAAGTTGACGGGCAATGCCCGGAAATGACTGCATTCAACCCGGCATGCAGTGAAAAAATGTCACTTTGACCTAACGTCATGATGCCAAACTTTGCTGCCGTGCTAAGAGAGAACGCCGTATAAACATTCGAGAGTTACCAAATTTCCTCCACTAAAATGTTTATTTTCGAGGAAATAAATTAATATTTTAGCCTGAACTTTTCAGACACTTCCGCTGACATTGCTGACAAAATTATCTAAAAAAATGGAAGAAAAATATTCAAACGTATACCAGGAAATTCGTGTTTTATCAAAGGAAATCAGGCAACGCCTGAAGGTTCATGCGGCATTTTTTCTTAGCACGGCAGTTTGAAGCTCCCCAAAGAGCGTTCAATTTCTCAGTTACTCTAAAAAAGGAACTACAGTCCTTCAGAGTAATACTACACTACAATAAAATGCTAACAATTTTTTCCCTGTGTTACCTACAGCATGTGCGTCTTCATACAAATTGCAGTTCCTCAGACGAAGAAACGTAGCTCTATTCTGAGGTTGCAAAATTGACCAAACAATTTAATGTTTTACGAGAAAATCAATTTTTTCTCCACAATTTGACTTATTTGTCGGTGCAGTCAGAGGAAAAATGAGTGGATTTTCAGTTAGAAATGCTCAATAGTTTCCTGATTAGAGTTCAATTTGCGAGTGGAAACTTTGCAAGGTAGAATCTTAGTTTCGCCCCTTTGTGTTAGAGACGACAAAATATGTCGGGATACCTAGTCTTCATTTTAGATTGCGTCGATTGTACGGAAGTCCTGTAAATTGACATTTTTGTGCGGTCCAGTGGTGTGACGTGCTTTGCGATATATCGATATTTTTTCATTTTTAGAGCAATGGTAAAAAGCCGATTAGTAAGGTGTTTGTTGCAAACACTCTATTTATCCATCCTTTTCCATAGGTTTCAATAACAGCTGAATCGATAGATCGCACAGCACGCCACGCTATCTGGTGCGGTCGATGTTACAAGAATCGGAAGCGTTATTGGCAAAGCTTGGGAAGTGGAAGCTTCTTTAGATACTGGACCACATTTCGCAAAAGGATATGAAACTGCTATTTCTGGCTTATTTTAGAAACGACATTCATCTGATGTTAGTTTTCTCTTCCAGCTACGCGTCTCCATGGATAATCCAGAAATATTGGTTCTTGCATGGTTGCAAAACGCAGTCAAATTTGTGGACTATCCCTTTCGACGGCGCTTTTATCTAAGCATTTCTCTTCACATAATTGCAACCTTTCATAGAATTGAGTCGGGCGGAAACCGCTAATGTCCGTTTTTCCAGTCTTGATTTCTGGGGGAGGGGGGGGAGGTCTTTTTGGAGTTAGATGCAACCATTGAAGAGGCATTAGTAATAATAAAGAGTTATACTAATCCAAAAACGAATCTCTGCACCACTGTCATGATTGAATCACTCTTGAATAGTATGATTAAATTGCACAGAAAAACTGAAAGCTAGAAAAATGGGCATTAGCTGTTTTCGCCCATCCGATTCAGTCTTAAAAGTATGATTTTGAGGAGGATTTTCGGGTGCCCCCACGACAAATTCGTCTCAGGGCTCCCATCGCCCTAAATCCGACGCCGACCTCGTGAGAATGAAAATCAGTTTATTGCAAAAATAAAATCAGTACGTACGCATGAAAAGTGCTGATGAATAATCCCTCTGTAAGGCAAGTATCACTCCATAAATCAACACTACAATAGGCACAAACACAGAGTAACGCGTAAACTTATCGTTGTTATAAATCCTTAAAATAAGTTTATTATCCAATTTATAAGAAAATCGTGCCGGTAATTGATCGCGAGGAAAAGATTTTCACAACAGGAATCAAATTCCTCTCCAGCACGGACGTCGGACGTCCACAAAATACTGCCGATCTCCGAAAAATATCGAAAAGAGAACACCCAATCGTACAGCACCCCTTTTTTATTCAGCGCAATTTTGACCCTGCGGAAAGACTACGGGGCGCACCACGTGATAATCCGCGGAGAAGAACAGCGACCGTCTGACGCGGAGGACCGGGCGAACCAAACTAAACCCGAATGCGGGAGACGAAATACGGGTGTCACACTCCCAGCTGATGCATCGCGAGGGACTAACCTCCAACACAAATAGACTCGTCTAGTAAGCCATGGGGGAGCCAACTCCGCGAAGAAGGGAGGGGTGGCGGGGCGTTAGGCCAGAAGTTATGAATGAGATGCAAGAGGATCTTACGGTCTTACCTGCGTATCGGTGCACCGCTCCGAGGCAGTCTCCAACTCATTACGCTAATAAACAGCTTCCGGCTCCAAATTATCCAAAATAAACAGCACAATTCGCTCACTTCACACTTGGAATCCCGCCGCGGGAAACGATAAGATGCACTGATCAGAAAACCAAAACACGCGAAATACCCGCGGGAACGATGGAGGATCGAGAAATCAGGTGAGCATCTTCGATCGCTGCTCTGTCCGCGGTGGGGTGGCCTGCCACTATCGTCACTGAACTGTCACTGATAGCGCTAATCCGCCACTGCACTTATCCGCGGTGCACGCCCCACCCCCTCCTCCCGACTGCGCGCGGCCCTCCCCCTCCGCCCCCGCCCCTTCGAAGCCGTGGGATGCTAGAGCAGTGTCAAGGTCATCGCATAATCAATCGGGTTGAAGCCGGCGCCTATCAAAATGAAAAGATTCGGTTCGGCTCGGAGCTTGCTCCGGCGATTTTCCTCGTCAAAAATGGACGGGGAAAATCGTTGACACTCTAGCTGAAAATCCGGGCGGAAGTTGTTTTCACTGAAAAAAATATCTCAGTGTATTTACTGAGAAAAGGGTAAAATGACCAAGAATTCAGGGTTCTATTTGATCCCAGTTTTTTTCTTGGTAAAATTACCATTTATAGAATTGGTAATTTTACCGGGAAATCTCGGTAAAATTATTGAACTTTCTCGGTAATTTTACTGGACCTTGGTTAAAACGCCAATATTTTTTATCGACTATGGTAGAATCACCGAGATAAAATGCCAAAGTTACCGGGAATTGATTACCAATAAAACTGGTATTCTTACCTGAAAAACAGTAGCGTGGCGTGCTTTATGCAACCTGCAACAATGATCGTATAGCTCTTCTTTCGGTTTTTTCCTTTTTCCCTTCATCTCCCCCCCCCCTTCCAAAACTTAAGATTTTTCCTTTTCATGTCATAATGAGCCCATAGCACAGAAGTTTTCAAAAATGATTGGAATTCACGAAATTTCATTTTATGAAGTTACATATAAAATCTTGCATCTCTGGTTTGAACCGTATACCGAGTATAATTCCTTGGCGCGCACCTTGCGGAGCGCCTTCAACATCGTAGTTATGCTTCAAACGCGACACTCACGCTCCGATGTGCAATTTTCGCATGTTGCGCATGTCGGAGCGTAGGTATGTCCAGTTTAGAATTGCCCAAAAATTGAAAGATTTTAAAGCCGCGAAATTCATGTTTAAATCCGCAATTTTTATTTCCATGCCGAACTGAGAAGGGGATTTTTAATTCCATGAAGGCTTGATGGAAATGACTTGGTTTCCGTGTGAGTTGCATGGAAGTGTTATGAGTTCCATGTCGAGCTCACAAGGAAATATTTTCATTTCCATGAAGACTTGATGGAAATGACTTGGTTTCCGTGTGAGTTGCATGGAAACGTTATGATTTCCATGTCGAGCTCACAAGGAAATGTTTTCATTTCCATGACGGCTTGATGGAAATGACTTGGTTTCCATGTGAGTTTCATGGAAACGTTATGATTTCCATGTCGAAGGACATGGAAGTCAGACGATTTCCATGAAATCACATGGAAATCGGGTCATTTCCACGTGAATCCACATGGAACATTTTTAGCAGGGTTGCGATACATCGATTGATTAGCCATTTAAACCTATGGAAAAGTATCGATAAACAGGGTGTTCGCAGCGAACACCTTAATAATCGATTATTTACCACAGCTTCAAATGGGTAAATATCGATAGATCGCAAAGCACGCCACGCCTCTGCTGAAAAAACAGTAAAAATACCGGTTTTTAGGTAAGTTTACCAGTCTGTTTTGGTAAAATTACCAATAATTGGTAAAAAAAAAAGTGAGATGGTAAAAGTACCAACGGCCCTTGATAAAAACGCCGAGAATTTTTTTTCAGTGTTCCTTAGAGTCCCTTTATACCCAGAGTTATGACATCTCACTTTTGGTTGGGCTAAAAGAGGCCCAAAAAAAAATCCAATTATGATTGGTCCTCGCTCATGGAGTCACAAGTGAGTGCACCAAGATTGCGGTACCTCGAATGTGAACGAAAGTAATGAATATATATCTAAATTGTGGTTTATCAAGAGGGAATTGTTTTTTTTTTTTTTTCATCGCACCAAAATAAAAATAGATCATGAAATTATCCACTAATCAATCTAATTTTATTTTATTGTTAGGTCTTGATCAGTTTTGTTGATTTTGTTGTTTTTGGATGACAGACATCGTAGGATTCCTTATCCTTATCTCTCATCGTTCGTTTGGGTGCACACTTTTGTGACACCATGGCCAGCTGACAATCGAGATGTCTTAACTCTGGGTATAAAGGTACTCTAGCTTTCCTGGCCACTAATAACTGAGATGGGCGCAGAAAAAGCATTTCTTGGTTGCGGTGTCTCAAAATCTTCATTGTTAATTTATATTTTAGAGTGGAAACTACTCGGTGAATTTTCTGACATTTTTCGTTCTCAACGTTGTAAAATCATGAAGATTTAGTAAAAGTATTAAAGAATTCCAAGATTTAGTAAAAGTATTAAAGAAAAGTATTGAAGGACCAATTTTTCGAAAAATTGAACGAGGAAATTGGTAAGATTGGATCCAGGAGGGAAATCATTGTGTTGGGAGATCTCAATGGTAGAATAGGACGTCAAATTAAAAGTAAGATCGTCGGCCCTTTCGGAGAGGCGGCACTGAATGATAACGGAGCCCGTATCATTGACGTATGTGAGCAAAGGGACATGAAGGTGCTCAATGGGTTCTACCAACACAAGGATATCCATAAATTTACTTGGGTTCAGTCTACTCGCGGATTGAAATCAATCATTGATTATGTGGTTGTCAGACAAGACACGGGAATGAAGATTCAGCAAGTTAGAGTGTGGAGAGGTCTTTCCTGCGGCAGTGATCATTATTTCCTCGGGGCAAAAATAGCTTTCCCAGTGAAAGGGAGCCAGGAGACCAGGCAAGCACAGGAAGAAGTTCACCAACAAAAAGATCGTGTCAAGCTTGTAAACTATAACATTGACAGCTTGCAGCATCCAAGTGTAAGGGCTTTATATGGAAAGCGCTTGGATGAGAAGTTGGGCGAATCAAGGGACGGTGATACCGAACAGCAGTATCAGTTCCTGAAGGATTGCATTCACTCGGCAGCAATGGAAGCTCTTGGTGTCGCTGATGATAGGAAAGTTAGCGAAAAACCTTACTGGTGGGACGAAGAAATTGAGAAGGAGATTCAGGAGAAACGGAAAAAATATCATCAGTTCCTTTCCTCTAAAAAAACAGAAGACAAAGAGGCGTATAAAAAAGCTCAGACGCAGGTACGAAGGCTCATAACCAAGAAAAAGAACGAATCTTGGGAGAGGAGCTGTAACAAAATAGACACGTACATAGGAGGAAGGAAAAGCACTGAGAGCTGGAAGTTGCTGAAAGGGCTGCGAAGGGACATGAAGCGTGACTTAATATCTCCGATATCCATTGATAAACTGGAGGGGTATTTTAAAAATTTACTGACAGAAAGGCGACCTGAATTTCAAGATGGAGGCGTAAGCTTGGAGTATACTAACGATAATCATAACTTGGAGATCCATATGGAGGACGTGGTAAAGGCCGTACGAGAGCTGAAGAACGATAAAGCTCCAGGTCCGGGAAATATCCCTGCTGAGTTGATCAAGTGTGGAACCTGCAAGCTGTTTCAACGGTTGAGATACCTGATGCAAGATTGCTTGGACGGTGGAAAGGTACCGACAGAATGGAAAGAGTCTTGGGTGTCACCTATATACAAGAAGAAGGGTAGAAAAGATGAGTGTGATAACTATAGAGGACTGTCGGTTGCAGGTACCCTGAGCAAAGTGTATGGAAAAATCTTGAAAGCAAAAATTGAAGAGGAGTGGAAAGAACATGAAGCGGAAGAGCAAGCAGGTTTCAGAGCCGGTCGGTCAACGATTGATCACTTATTTACCATCATCCACGTCATAGAGAAAAAGAAGGGAGTTGGCCAGGAATTACATCTAGTGTTTGTGGATCTCCAGAAAGCTTACGATAGTGTGCCATTGATGAAACTTTGGGAAGCCTTGAACAAAAGGGGTTTTAGTGGGGGACTAATTAGTGCTATTAAGGAATTTTATGGTGGGGCTTTCTCTAGGGTTAAATCGCATGGGGAGTTATCGTTGGGGTTTTTAATTACTAAAGGACTGAAACAAGGGTGTTGTTTGTCGCCAACCTTATTTAAAGTGTACCTGGAAGAAGTTTTAAAGGAATGGAAAAGATGCTTTTCGGGAATGGGCGTCCCGCTACGTGAAGATGGCACCCTTTATACTCTGTGCTTTGCTGATGATCAGGTGGTAATAGCTCAGGACGAAGAAGATGCGAATTACATGACGCGGAAGCTAGTGGAAGTATACCGAAAGTGGGGAATGGAAGTAAATGTGGTTAAGACGGAGAAGTTGGTTATCGGTGGTGATCAGCAAAGCATTGAACTGGAGGATGGCCGGAAGATCCTGGACTGTGAAGAGTATAAATATCTCGGAGTTCGGTTAACTAAGGACGGAAATTTGGATCGGGCCATTAAAGATCGGAATGTGCAAGGCAGGAAAGCTATCGCGATGCTAAATGGGGTTCTCTGGGACCAGAGTATCTCCAAGGAGACCAAAAGGAAAATTTACAACGTCATCGTGAAGAGTATCGTAACTTACGGGAGTGAGGTCTGGCAACTTAAGAAAAGAACTGAAGACATGCTTAGGGCAACCGAGATGGACTTTTGGCGAAGGTCTGCTGGGATATCGAGAAGAGAGCGTATCCGCAATGAAAGGGTTCGCGAGATAATGGGTG